CAGTCTCAGCATAACTTATTGTTCATGTGCATCTCAGGGTCGACTCTTGGTTGATCTGACAGTAAGTTTCAACATGAATGTGGTACAAATAAAATCTTTTTGATCTTTTATGAACTCTGTAGGGACATTATTTCTGTATTTCTTCTAGGGTTGCAACTATGCTTTGTGGATTGTTCATGGCAATAAACATATATACAGTATCTATTGGAAATAATAGGAATAAGATCAATTTAATTGAGTTGAGCTTTACTCAACAACACTGACGTATTTAAAGTGTATTAAATATCATTTCACAATGCCAACAATCCATATAAAGAATTTTCTTTACAAATTGGACATAACATTTAATTGACAAACATTATCCTTTCCATCCTAATGTACCTTCAGGTGTTATTATGAATATAATCACATCTTCACCTACATGTCTTTTTCTGTCTGTCAGTTTTCCAGAGCCTCAGCCGGCGTACTACTGCTCTGAGGAACCGTTTGGTCGCAGTGAGGAGGAGAGAGCCCTGAGCTCAGAGGGCCAAAGGTCACCAGGGGTCACCGGCCGCGCCTGTACGCCCAGCCCTCCCCCCCCACCCTCACCACCACCACCAGCCCACGTCAACGAGAAAACTTCACCAAAGCTGTTCAGCCCAAGCAGGCTCACTTTTACTGTAAGGGCATTTCTTACACTAATTTTCTGATCTCTCTGTTGGGTGGTGCAGTGATGACGTCATTGTGTAGGTCCACCCAGAGAATATCATAGCAAGAAGTCCCTCAACAAAAATCTGTGGCAAACACATGTTTATGATACTTACCTGTATTGTTCAGCAGAATAATCTCCACATATAAACATGTCTTTTATGATATTTGAAGCGTAAGTAAAAATGACTCCACACCAACAATGTGAAGCTAAGTCGCCTAATGTTTGCCGTGATTATGTTAAGTATTGAGATGTTCACCATTTGCGTATTTACTGACGTATTTTATGTGGTAAAACTAGACGTAAAAATCTCATACATTTGTGTTAACCAAATTTAAACAAAAAAAACGTAAAGAAATCCATTGACTTTCAGAAGAAGCAACTGGAAGGTTTAAAATGCAAACTCATTTCCGGGTTTTAAGACTCATTCCTGCACCACTTTATAGCTCTCTGTTAATGCTTTATTAGTCTCTTGTGTTACTTAAAACTCCATGTTTAAACGTGAATGGCAAAGGAAAATGTATTCAGGTTTTGTAACGCGTGTATCTTCTCCCTCCCAGTCTTCCCAGTCTGGAGGAAACAGCACGAACATGTCAGACCTGCCGTCCTTCACTCCCAGCGTCTTCCCTCCCAGCGCCTTCAACTACGAGCGACCGAGGCATTTCATCCAATCACAGGCGACCTTTCAAGCCCCCAGCTACGAGAGCGTTCTGAAAGAGGCCCATGAGAACCAAAACAACTCTCAACAGAACCTCATCAGCTCCCAACATGTTACAGAGACACAGAGCCAAGCCAAAGTGATGTCTGCCCAAAGTCAATCTTTCTCTCAAACTCAGTCGGTGTCCAAGTCCATGTCGCAAACGCAGGCACAGTTTCAGTCACTGAGCCTCAGTCAGAACCAAGCCCAGTCTGTGACGCAGACCCAGGCCCAAACCCAGGTTCATACCCAGGCCCAGGCTCAGTTACAATCCAAAACCGAGGCCCATACCCAGGCTGTGATGCAAACACAAACCTACACCCAGGCCCAGGCCCAGGCCCAGGCCCAGGCCCAGGCCCAAACCCGGGTTCATACCCAGGCCCAGGCCCAGGTTCATAGCCATGCCCAGGCTCAGTTACAAACCCAAGCCGAGGCCCATACCCATTCCCAGGCCCTGATGCAAACACAAACCCACACCCAGGCCCAGGCCCTGGCCCAGGTTCACACTCAGGTTCATTCTCAGTCCCAGTCTCAGGCCCAGGTCCAGATCCAGTCCCAGGCCAATGGCACCAGCAAGTCCTCTCCATCCTCTTCAAGTCTCAGCTCTCCTATCTCCACCCCCGCCTCCTTTACTGCTCCTCCTCATTCCTTCACAGCCCCCATGCTCAGTCCGTCTGCTGCCCCCGCCTCCTCCTCTGCTCCTTTCCCCCTCCCGCCATCCTCCCCTTTCCCCGCCTCCTCCGCCCCTTTCCTCCCCCCGCCATCCTCCC